TGATGATGATGATGATGATAGTTGGACAGTTGAAGTTGGCAGACATTCTTTACGGAGCACCCTTCACAGGCTGGGAAAACAAACTGGTTCCATCAAATGGAAGTCAACAAAGGCAAACACCCAGACCCAGACGCAGCGCGTTTACATTTTCGGAGGCCAATCCATGCACCCCCAGAGCAGTGTTGACTTGGTGAATTCCACCCCGTCCCAAACTCTAGAGTCGGCAAAACAAGCAAAATCCCCTTGACACTGGTAGTTATAAGAGAGAGAGAGAGAGAGAAGACCCAAACAACAAATGAGGTGAGACAGGTACAACTGAGGTGAAACAGCAGCGCAAGAGGCTTTTATGAGTGGTACTGAAGCTGGAAGAAACGACCACTAAGTCTCTTGGAGCATTGCACCAGCTCATTCGCTCTGCAGCTCTGCCTCGTTCACCTGGCCGATGCTCTTCGTCCGCCCCCATCCCGACTCTGGGCTCCGAGTCTCAGCTCCTCTCGGCTCGTCCGGACCGTTTGCCCGGCTTTTGGTTCCGTTCGGTCCCAGAATGAGACGCGTAAGGTGAGTTACTGGTCTTTTGGAGCTCCTTCAGCTCCGGGTCTTTTCGAAGAAGCGCTCGCTAGGCCGGACCACCATCCTGCGAGCTGAAAAGAGTGACCTGTTTCTGGCAAGTGACTTACTCACCTGATACAGTAAACAGTTATCCCATTGGCAAAAGAAGAGTCGGAGGTCCGAGACAGCAGTGGCATCATTTCACACATCAACATGTTTGGGAGAATTTGACGGACGAACAGGCTGAATATGAAAACACTGGAAAACACAGAAAAATCCATCGAATGGCTCTCGCACAGCCTTTTTGTTAAGATGTCGCTGTGCAGGCCCACGGAGGCTTTAGCGCCCATGGCCGGGAAAAAGCACAAAATAAGTCGGGTGAAATGCTTCCTCACGGTGAAACAGAAGCTCTCGGAGCTCTCGGCTCTCAGAGGCCTAAACTCCGGAAATCGATCGAAACTCTTCAGTGCACTGGACATGGGCACAGATGTAGGTTTGCAACCGGCAATCGAAAGTGAAAACTAGTGGCGAGCTCTGAGGAGAGCACTTGCAGCCGCGTGAGTGGTCTCCTGTAGCTCCCGGAAAAGATGAGCATTCTGTCGCACCGCATATTCCCCTTGGGCGGCTAACAGATTCACCTGAGCGCTTTGTTGGGCATTTGGTTCGGCACGCCCCCGGTACGGACGTGACCCCTGGATGCTCGGTGTTTTTTTGTGCGGTGGATGCTGAGGTTGAGAGCAGAGAGCCACATGATGCGGTGGGAACACCCTATCATCTGAGTGTTTCGCACTTCGTATGAACCTCCAGACCCTGTTTTTTTGCCATGTTGCCATGTCTAAAGTAAGCTCAGGTAAAGACGTCGTCTACACTCCAAATAATCATTGGAAGTGGATAAAACCACCTGTTTGATCTTCGGACAATGGTCATCGAAAAATCGGGCCGGCCGTGCCAATCTTCCGACGATTTCAACCAGGGAGTGTGGTCGTAACCCCCAGAGGTTCCCATCTTCAAATCCTGCTGGAGTGAAGACTGAGGAATCTTCAAGTCAAATGGAACCTCACTCTTCTCAGCAGTCTGCCTTGCCTGAGCAGTGTTGAGGCCCAACATGTCCTCCTTGTTGTTCCCAGTGGTCCTGCCAGTGTTCACTGGATCACGGTACCCCGAATTGTGCAAACAAAACTAGTTGCAAGTGTTTAGCATAGTATCTAGTCATAAATCGACTGGACAAGTACTTGAAATTGGAGTAAAGACGACATGCCAGGTCCCAGGTCGGAATGACAAGCAAGTAGAGTTGGTGACAAGGTTAGAGCCGGATTCAGAAACTAATCGGTCGGATTCTGAAACTGGGATTCTGACACTAATTCTGAAACTGGGGTTCTGAAACCGGTATTCTGAAACTGGAAGGTCAGATTCTGAAACTGGAAAGTCAGATGCCGCAAAGGGGTTCTTGAACTGATATCCTGAAACTGGAGAGTCAGATTCTGCAACTGGTGTTCAAAAGCTGAGATTCCCACCCACCACCCCGCCCCTGTTTTTGCTTGGATGCTTGGGGCTTGTGTTTGCTGCTTGACCTGTTGCGGAATCCAGCATCCAGGCACGTGGCTTACGCTTGCTGTCGCGAATGTTTCGGGCCTGAGGTTGCTGCTGGAACTTGGTTTGCAATTCCAACGCTGGCATTGTCCCTCCACCCACCCACCCACCCACCCACGCACCCGCCCACCCCACCCCTGACCCCTGCCGTGTATTTGCTTTTGCTTTGCAGAATTCCAGTTGCGGAAAGCCAGTTGCGAATCCTGATAGCTGCGGAATCCCAATTGCGGAATCCAAACAACTAGTTGCAGAGTCCTACTTGCGGAATCCGACCTTTATCCGTGGCGGACAATCTCCATGAACCCCGAAAATGGATCATCTAGCACGACGATTCGCATCTAGCACCACGCAGTGGCTTTCGGGCTCCATGTGGTCTGCATGGGACCTTTTCCTTCCCCAGCCCCCAAAGGATCTCTTCCACTCTGCACCCAAGAAGAGCTCTGACATGCTCTGACACCACTCTAAAAGCTGGCAACCAAAGAGCGCGCGGGAGTAGCGCAAGGTCCTGTAGATGGGATAGTTCTCCAGCATACCATGGGGGCCCTTGGCAATCTCATCTTGGACCTCCTGCGGCAGCTGCTGCTGGAATTCAGCGCACTTGTCTAAGTAGATCAGCACGAAGGACACCTGGCCAGAGCACCAAGAAGTGGTCGTGCTGGGTTTGAAAGGTATGTCGAAATGGATGGTATGCGGCACAACAGTTGGCCAACCTACTCAGGGCAGTTTGTGTCTGCTTCAGATTGAGTTTGAAGTCACAAGTCTATCTATGTTTGGTCCCAACCGGAAAACAAATGCTTCACATGTGCCAAATCCGTGGGCTCCGGGCTCCCACATCGATGACCATCCCTGCCAAGAACCATGTGATGTAAAAACACTTCCAAGGTCCCATTTGCGAGCCCCTTTTCGAACCCAAAAGTCACACCTCACTATTAAAATGTTTAAAGAAAAAACACCCCCAAACACCCATCGTTCGTGCTGCCTGGTGGGCTCCCCGGATGCCCCAGTAGCTGTTGGGCAGCACGTCCAAGCTCTCTTTCAGCACCATCGGCTTCCCCGAGGACTTCAAAGCAAAGAGTTTTCGGCAAATCGGCAGCAGTTGGGACTTCTTGAAGACCTGATCGACGATCCAAAAAGGTGATCGAATTAGAAGGGAGATCCAACAAAGGGGGTGAAGAGATTCTACTTTTGGAAGCTCATAGAACTCCACCTTTTGAGCTACTCCGCAATCTTTTCTCGAAGCAGCAGAGCTTTTCTCGGGGGAATCGAAGAGCCCTATTTTTGAGGGACCGAAAGAAGGGGCCTTCGGGAAGAGGCTGATACTCTCCTTACACTCTGACTCACTAACATGGAAGTGGATGGCATGGTCCCTTGGAAGACTGCTCTCCCTCACAAACAAGGGATGCCATCCGCTTCCATGTGATGTGTAAAATCGTCATGGTTCCGTGGAGGGAAAGTCCACGGTCACATTGGCC